GTAAAGTTTAATTATAAGTATAACTATAAGATAACTCTTTATAAGAATTCTAGAGCTATTTAAGACTAGTTTAGCCTAGTAGCTAATATAAAAGCTAAGTATAGAATCTAAGATAATAATATATATAACTTTAATAAGATAGACTTTATAATAGGCTAGATTACTCTTAGAGCTATTATTATAGCTTTAGAGAGACGTAGACGGCCTAAGACTATCTAGCTAGGTAATAGAGAGTAGACTATAGTTATCTAGAGTATTAATATAACTAGATAGATAATTCCGCTCTTTATTATTCTTAAGACGCGCTACTACCTCTCTAACTAGTATAAGAACAGTAATATACTCTAGAACTAGATTATTAAACTCTCTAAAAATAGCTAAATAATAAACAAGCTTAGTCTTATATAGCTAAAGTACTTTAATAAGTATATAAAGATAAAGAAGATAGACGTCTACTATCTACTTATTATTAATAGCTATAAGAGCTATAACTTACTAGATTTCTAAAAATACTATAAAGATAACGCTATTAATACTATTTATATATCTCTATACTTATCTTATCTCTTATAGTCTCTTAATATAGACTATTTTACCTCTTTTAAGTAGATCTATAGACGCTAAGTTAAATTACTTATATATATCTAGATTAGTTATATTATAAAATAAGAGTTTTTTTCTTACTTTAAGTAGGTTTTTAACGTATTATTTATAGCTAGTAATATCTAAGAAGGCTTTTAAGGGGCTAAATTAGTTCTATTTAACCTAGAGTAGGTTATATCTACACTTAATATTTAGTTATATACTCTATTATCTCTATCTACTTATAACTATCCTTAGATATTATAAGTCTTTAGTAATACTCTAGAATTAAAGTTATAATTAATACTAGTAAAGTAGAGAATTTAGAGGTATATAGATAGTTTACTAACGTCTATAGTAGAGGCCTTTAAAAAGGTCTTAAAGAGAGTAGCTATTATTACGTATAAGCTAGTATTTGCGTAAAAGTAGATTATTAAGCTTAAAGTAGCTAATATAGCCGCTACGCGATAAAAATTATATAAAAGAAAATAAGTTTAGATAGAGAGAACTTTAATAGTTAAAAATAGAGAGTATTTAGCTACTCTCTAGAACTTTAGTATACGTAGTAATAGAAAGAAGTTAAAGAAGTAAAAACGCGCTAAAGAGAGTAAACTATCTTAAAAGTAATATAGATAGTATAATAGAACTAGGTATAATACGCGAATATATAAGTAGATAGTAGAAGTAGACTTAGAATAATATCTTATATTTCTTTACGCTATATAGGTCTAAAGTAAACTATTTTAGGCTATAATATAGTAGTTTTAGTAAGGGCTTAGTAAAAGTATCTAGCGAACTTATATATCTAACGAACCTATAAGGTACGTTATAGTCTATACTTTATCTAATAGAGAATTAATTAAATCTTTTATTATAATATTTCTATTTAGCTAACTATATATAAAGTCTTAATAGCCTTTAGATAATTTATTATAGAATGTTACGTCTATAGCTTACTCTTCTAAAATATAATAAAGTTTCTAATAAGTTCTAAGTAACTCTTTTACTTATTACCTTTTATAGCTAAGCTTTCTATATAGCTCTACTTTAAATATACTATCTTATAATAGTCTTTTTATATACTACGCTAAGATCTTTTCTATTTAATTTAGTACTAACTTTATATTACTAGCTTATAGTAATATTATATTTTAAAGCTTATTTAAAAAATAGTCTATATAAAGCTTAGATCTAATTAGAATTTTTTATATTATATATAAGACTATACTTTAAATATTAATTATAAGATATATAAAAGATTATATCTTATAAAGAGCTAAGCTTCTAAGCTATAGAGTTATTTATATATAAGCTAGTTTATAAGTAATTATTAGACTAGTAAAGTTTAAGTATATAAGATAGCTATAAAATTCTATAGCTATTATTAAAATATTAGTTAGATAGTACGTAAAGAATCTAGGTACTTAAGATAGTATCTAAATTCTATAACTAGGCTAAGATTCTATTAAGTAGCTCTCTAAACAGCGTTTAGCCCATTATACTTATTATTAGTAAAGTTTTTTTAGTTAAAATAATTTATCTTACTATTCTACTATTTATAATAAAAGTTTATAGATAGAATATAGAACTAGAAAATAGTAATAAAATATAAATAAGATATAATATAAAGCTATAATTATAATAAAATCTAAAAGTAAAAGAAAGAGCTCTAGTTTAGAGTAGAATAAGTTTTATAATAATAGTAGTAGAGTATTATACTAAATATATTATTATAGTATAGTAAAGGCGTATAAGTATATAACTAAACTAGTAATTAGATATTAAAATAATAATATATTATATAGTAGTACTACTAATTTTAAATAAATAAAAGGCTTAAGCTTTTCTATATAAGAAGTATATTATAGTAGAGCTTATACCTATAATTAAACCTTAGCTATGATAGAAAATAGTAAAGATAAAGAAGCTAGAGCTAAGTAATCTAGCTCTACTAAATCTAAACTAAACTAAGATAGAATAATAGAGCTAGAGTATTATATATCTAGTACTGTTAATAAAAGCTAAGCTTAAGTAAAACTTAAGTAAGATAGATAATCTAATTCTTTATCTATAAGAAGGTAACTTTATCTAAGCTTAGCTACTCCTCTATATCTACGAATATATGCCTAACTACCGCCGTATTAAACTCGCCTACCTAAACTTCTTCACCCTAACTGCCCTCTGCTACTACTCTTTATTCTATACCGCACTTCTCTACTGGCTTATAATGTCTACCTACCTACCTCTCTACGCACTTCTTAAGATACTCATGCTGCACGGCTACACGCAATCCGGCCTGCTCTTCCAAGCCAAAACCGATGCACTGCGAAAAATCCTGCAAAAGGACTGGCTCACAGGCTGCGAGATCGTATGCCCAACCGCACCTATCCAACTGAGTCCTGCTGGCGAGACATTTCTCACAATTGAGGACGGAAATGAGGAGGAAATTGATGCGTGGGCGTCATGGAAGCGCAAGGGCGAGGGCGAAGCTTATACGTACGACAGCCTAGAACAAGGGCTGGTCAAGATCGTGGAGGTACTGGACTAAGAGAACCCATTTGATAGGGTAATTAGGCTTTTGTAATGTGGGGCATGTGTAAGGATAGTAGTAGGTTTACTGAAATCTAGGAGGCGCGAAGTGTCTACTACCTCACACAACCTGTTTTCTTTCCGTCCCTACCGCCTTGTCTAAGTAGATGAGTCTGAGCGTGACAAGCGGATCGGGTTTGGGCGAACGGGGTGGTCTCCTCTAGGCACGATACTTGTGCAGATTGCTAGGTATTGGCGTGAACAGCGGTGGCAGATAAACACAGGATCAAATCCTGCTATCGCGGGTATTTCACAGAATGACTAATCGTGCTGTCCTTGAAGATCATAGTAAGCAGCTGCTCCAGCACTGCGGCCGGTGACTGGAGCCAAACTTAGTACTCGTAATGGACAACGCATATTTCCACCCTACACAATAAGCTAGACCACTGCATAAGCGCTCGAACAAAGCCTCAGACGTCGAAACTTCTGCCCAAATTCCTCGGTAATAGGAATACCATCATTGTAACCTTCCACGGCCCAATCCCACAACTCTCAAACGCGATGCGCTGTAAATGCAAAGGCTCGCTCTCAATCCAGTCCAACCTAGTTGCCAACCCTCTCCCGCTGCGCCGCTGTAACCAGCCCACCATCTGAGGAAAGAAAACATCAACCAAGATAACCAAGGCACCTCCGAATATGATAAACATTATACCCACCACGTTAAAGAAATGATAACTACTACTCCAGACCTTTTGGTTGGCGCAAATATTCAGAATCTCCTGATGAGTCTCCTGCATGATGTGTGGGTAGAGGCCAACAGATTTATGGATCTGGGAATTAGACGGGGAAGCATGATCGATAATGCGTTGCTGGAGAAATGCCATACTTGTGTTATGTATGTTTTCAACTTCCTTTTGCCACTGATTGTTCTCGAGGGCAGAAGACAACCAAGTACCTCCAAATAATCTGTCTTTGGCAAGGAGAATGTTCCCTCCCAAAAATGTCAGCAGGCGACTCATCCTCATCCACAATGCTATTTTCAGTATTAGCTGTAGTGTCGCTTCCTGTTTTGAATTTAGACTGAGTTTGTCGATCGCATGTTGATCGATCATATAAATGCCAGTAAGAGGGGTGCATTGATTGCTGCGACAGAACTGATACTGCTCGATGCAGCCAATACCAGAGAGCGTAGTTGATGAGATCCAGACATCGCTTGGTGCCCATACCACGGAATTGGTTGGTGTGGCGGCCGTTTGAAACCAAGGATCTCTTACAGGTCCTGTATATGCTGCTAAGTTATTCAATAGCAGGACGTTCACATCGTCATCTGTACGGTTCAGAGCAGATATGGGGTTGAAGGTCCCTTCAATAGGGTTTCCGGGATTAGCATCTACCCATCTAGACAAATATATTATCTATAAGCTTGAAGAAAAAAAAGATAGATAGCTTACAAGAGATTGTAGGGCTGAGAGGCGTATGTAATAGTCTTGTTGGTCATCACGACTGTGCTATCGCTTATGGAGGTCCCTTTCCATGTCCGATTTCCAAGATAATAGTATTTGTATAGATCGTCTGATGGTAGCTGGCCTTGTCCAAGTTGAAATAATAACTGGTCTTGAAGACTCGGAGATTTTTTAGATGTCCAATTTGGGCTATGTTTGTCTTCTAGTAGGATTGGGGTACATATCATCAGTTTTCTGAACTGAATACGATCTTGCACTGGGGCATTGATTCCTAGATGCAAGTGGGAATCTATGAGCCCAGAGTCTATCGAAACTGTTGTAGTTGTACAGGTTCTCTCAAAAAAGGGACAGGGAGCCGCTGGGTCAATTCTCGATTTAATTGATGGGGCGGCATGAATGTTGCAGAGAGAGGACTGGGTCTGAGATTGAGTACTATAGCATGACCGGGCGTATGCTGCACGCTTTCGAAAACTCTGCTGGAGTAATGTCAACCAGGCGTCGGCAGACTCCACGTCTTCATCAGACCATTGATCAAAGGCTTTGTTGCTTCGTTCATCTGGCCATCCGCAGACATCGCTCTTAACCAATACTTCTCCAGCTGATCGGGATACTCTTGAAGAGAAGATGCCAGCAGCGTAGAATGCTGTCATATGGAACACTGTAAGAAACAATAGCGGTAATGCACGTCGTTTCACATTTTCAGTGTTTGATCTCCATGCCAGAGCAACCTTCAAAAGCTTCCAGAAGGTGCTGAGATCGGTGAGTTTATTTGCCAGGATGGCTTGGTACTGGTAGTGAAATCCGTCGCGCTCATATGGGGTATACCGAATTTGATGTAATATGAAGCAATTGATACACCAGAAATGACTTCCAACCAATCGAACAAAGAGAGCAAGTACTGCCACTGCAATCGATTCATACTCAGCTGGTATAGTGATAGTCGCACCTAGAATTCGACCACTGCCTGGATTAGAATATTAGAACTGAGCACGCGTGATAACATTCAAAAAGCACTCAGGAATGTAAACACAGAGAGTGATGAATGATAAGATGATGTTGGAGCATTAGGTGGAGGCCTAGAACACGTACTCCAATTGAACCAGGGTCCAACCAAAACTCTAGCTTCAGACATTAGGGGAGTTACCTTTGACGGCGACACCAAAGGTCCAGGTGAACTGAATCAACCAGGGTAATGTTTGATCTGGAGAAAAAGCAAGAATCAGCTGAATTTAGATGCAAGGTTATCTAACATTTATACCCCGCCAAAGCTGAAAGAAGAGGCGTTTGTAGCGTAGTATTCTAAGAGATTAGCACGCATTAACCACCACGCGACCCTCTCCCCTCTTTAGCTCGCGTCCAATAAACTCTAATAATTCATCGTAGCCTCGTAATAATTATAAACATCTTTGTAAGGTAAACATGATACAAGTATCGAACGTATTTTTGGCATTTTTGATCTTCCGCTTGAGCCTATGTCGTTGTAGAGCGATTAAAGTTATGATTTACTTAAACGAAGAATCTAGCGTTCTAATAGGTTATCATAATGGAGTACATAAGCAGTTTGTCCCAGTCATTGAATAAATTTTAGTTAGAGTTATATATATAGAATTGAATTAGGGAGAAAGAGGAATTATCTACAGGTTGTCTAAGACTTGAAGAAGACTAGATACTCTGAACACATGACTGCAGCTATACCTCTCTAAGATGTATCTATGGATCACCAAGATTTAGTCTCAAGGTTAGCGCATTGGTACTGGAGCTTATGTTTCAGCTGCGGCTGACAGAAATCTCACTGTGTACTGCTGATGACTGTATGCAGGTGCTGCGCCACGGCGTGCGCCGCATCGGCACTGCCCCTGAAGCAGCTGAGGTTAAGACCGGACACACCAAGGGTCAGGCGCCCCTTATAAACATCAGATCTAGGTTGTTATGGTTTTCGACGATTTGATTCACAATGTCCTACGTGATTACTCAGTAATATGCTCCCAGTCGAAGAGGATTATGAAAGCAGCGCATGCGTAACACGCCCACTTTTCCGACCCCCTACACCTGGCCCTATCTTCAACAGCGCCGGAGCACTACTGAGTCAACCTCAATTCAGTCAGAATAATAGCAGCTCTGCTTCTTATCGAACCAGCAGGGACATCGCGACCCTCCGGACAGACCAGTCAGAGTGGATTTACTTGGATGAAGTACCGTACGTAGCCACGGGCGAAATTCCTCACCCTCAGCTCAAAATTCCTAGTCCAGACGACGAAGATCACTGCAATTATGAAAATATTGATACGTCTATCACTAGCACACGATCGCGACTGTTATCCGAGTCGAACACATCTTACAACGGCCAATCATCAACGCATGCTCAGGGCTCCTTCCAGAAATGCGTAGGCTCACTCACCGAAAGGTTTGCAACCTTTGCCAGTCCTACTGTGTTCCAAAAGCCACTTAGTTCATTCCAGTATCCAGAGACTACGGTCTCTGGATATCAGTCTTGCAGCCGCTTCTATGGTTGGAGGATGAGCATGTTGATGGGTAGTTGCACGTCTGCCGCAATACTGGCTTTCAACATAGTCGTGGTCGTCCTCGTTGCAATCAAGCCCGGATTCAATGGTGACACGGCTGTACTGCCGTTTACATACGATTCAGTAACAATGCATGTTCATTACCCCAATTTTCACAGGCGACTTCTAACACGAGTAGGTCCCAGTTGAGTAGTGGTATCCATATACTGATTAATGCGCTAAGCACTATTTTACTGGGCGCCAGCAACTTTACGATGCAGGTGCTTACATCGTATGTAGTTTGGTGTTTGATAACCTGTCTCTTACTGACCTTGCATGCCATGGCCAGACCTTCTCGTAGAGACATTGATATAGCCCACTCTCAGGGATCATGGTTTGACATTGGCTGTCTCAGCTCTCATAACCTACGAAAGATTCCTCGTAGACGTCTGGCACTATGTCTGACCATGGGGTTGACATCTATCCCCCTACACCTATTGTATGCATTCATTTCTAGGCACACGCATTGTTGCGCAGCTAATGACTATGTAGCTACAATTCTGCAGCAATATTCATTGCGTCGACCAATTTGTGCAGTGTCTACGTTCTGAACGTCACTTCACCACAATGGCAGGATGTTTTGAGTAGTCCAAACTACACTGCACTCTCTAACCTTCAGTGGCAAAAGGCATATCAATCACAATTGATTGACTATGGTGACCTCTACCTTGCAATCAACCAAACGGCCCTTAAAGCGGCGGATGGTGATACTGAGCACCCAACTTTAAGCTTTGACTCCAACTATACGTGGGTCATGCAAAACATATCAAGGGCGTTCGTCCGAAAGTTGATATTGAACGAGACTGACAAAAGTATACTTTCCCGGAATCGGATTAATATGACTGCGTTCAACTCAGATGGAGTTGGAAACGAACCATACTATGGACAAGTCACCGCTGCTCGTGCTCGCATAGTCTCATCGCGAAGCCGCATCCAAATCAGTCTTTGCTTTCTTATCATAGTCATAATAAGCAACGCGATAAAGCTTGCAACAATGCTCTGGGTATTGTTCTACGAAGAGCCAGAGTTTCTTGTCACGCTTGGTGACGCAGCCACTTCATTTCTCAAGAGCCCAGACCCACAGACGGAAGGGGTGTGCGTATATTCGAGGGAAGCGATTCTCATCGAGCATGGCTCTGGGAGCAAGAAGTCTAAGCAAGGCAATTTACTAGAAGATATCACCCACGACTCGTACGGGACATGGAGAGAACGCTACCATTCGTACTCTTTGTCGCTTGGGCGAGACCGGGAGGTTGGTTCCTCTTTCATGTAAGTGGGTGTGAAAGCCTAGTTTGTCTCAGGAGCGTCGTCACCGAGCACTCTCTGACCTTCAAGCAGTTTTATTGTAATTGGGAGCAGTCTTCTTCTCTGCATCACTCTTGCTGTCAGCGGCAACATCAACGGCCAGTGGGGCACCAATTCGACAACCATGCTGGGTGGTCAGAGCAAGGCACGGAACACACTTCTTTTTGCCTGGTTGCCCAATCTTCCCCAACTGGCCTTATCTTTCTGCTATCTTGTCCTCAACAGCGAGTGCACCTCCATGGCTGGTGCCCGAGAATGGAACCAACTCGGTGTTCACCGCAAAGGGCTACGGGTTACTAATCCTATGCATGCTCAGCGCAGCACGTACTTTCTGCAGCTCCCGTACAAATTCTCACTGCCTCTCACCATCTTCAGTGGTGGTCTACATTGGCTCCTCTCCCAATCATTGTTTCTCGCAAGGGTTGATTACGTGGATAACAAAGGTCAGCTCATCGAGTCTGAGTCGCGATTTGGCGTTTTTATGTCAGGATTGAGTTTCCTTATACTCTGTCTCGCCTTCTACTTTCTTGTCGTCACGATTGGGCTCCTCGGGCGTCGCCGATTTAAAGGCCACATCCCCTTTGCGGCTTCGTGCAGTCTGGTCATTAGCGCTGCGTGCCATCCGCCCAAGGGCGATTGGGAGGCATATTTAAAACCGGTTAAGTGGGGTGTGGTGGAGGAAAGAATGTTTGATGACCAGCTTCATTGTACGCTGACGTCGCAGAATGTAGAGCAACCAGAAGATGGAACTCGATACCGATAGACATTAGATCAGACAGGACTAGTAGCGCGATGTTACTAGGAGTAGAGCATCACTTTTTTGTTTTATCATATAGCAGAGTTAAACTTTTCTTTTTTATTCAGCATACGTTAGAATTCCAGAAGGCTATTAGATATTGAACCAGTTTAATTCAATACATCAGTAAAGACATAACCACTACACTTCATTATCGAAGAATTATAGAAGTATCTTATTGTACAAAAGGTTTGCGAGATGGTATACTACATTTATGTTATTGTTCGCTTAGTTTTAGTCAGTGTGCAGTCACTCAGTGTAGGTTACTTGGACTGTTTTCTATAATTAGTCCCATCATGGTAAGTCAACTGGATGCGATGACTATAGCCCGTATCCGAGTAAGCCTGGATAACTAAGGTGTCCTTCCGGCTATTCGTCCTATGAGCAAGGAGGATATCGCTGCTTTACAGACTGTGGGGGGCTTGATTAGTCATATTAACAAAACCTTGCTTCACGAAAGCTCGGTGACCAGATCCATATCACTCGGTCTGGTTGCTACAAATGACTCCGAAGTGAAGTTACAGTGGCTCACTTTGGCCAGAGCCGCAAAAGTGCTAAGGATGGCAGCACAGGTGTTGAGCTTAAGCTAAACACGCCGGGACCGATTCTTACGAATATTTCACTGTGCCCAAACCCTTGCGTGATTAGTTTGAAGAGAGCTAGGAGGGCGACGTTTACTCTTTGGAAAAAAAAAGAATCGACCAGTAACTGAGAGATTAGTGAGTGGAAGACGGGAGTCTTGAAAGGTGTCTTCACGATATTCTGGATGTTTTGTTCTGTCTTAGAACCTGCTCAATTATGCATGACAAACACGCTACACGGCGCTAGATAGTGCTCGAAAGACTACAAAACCTTCGGTCAGACGCTGCTCGACCTGTATTATAAAATAATCCAATTCTCATATTCAAGAAGGTTTACTGGCTGATAGAAGCAACGCGCAATAAGCGACAAGCTGTTCTCTCTATCTATCCTCCTTATTTGCAACATATCATCATGACCCACCCCTAGCATAGTCGAGAATAATAACAAGTTTTCGAAATGAGCAAATCAAGCCCCTTAAAGGATGCAGGGTTTAGACAATCCATGACAAAGAGAAGCTCAACAATTTTTCCAAGGATGGCTTCTGGCTTCTAGCTTCTGGCTACAAACAAGCAACGCACCCGCCGAAAAGAAGTACATACGTACATGCGTCGGCGCCACTGAGGCTGTGTCGGGGAAGACGCGTGAGGCGAAAGACCGACGTCATTCGCTGGGATAAGGCGGCCGTGCCACAGACCAAGCCGGCTAAGCTTACCGCGACGCATAGATAAGGCCCCGACTGCCGCTTCACTTCCTTGGCCACTTGCTCTGCCCAGCAACCCTCGAGTACATTTTACTTGTACTCCTTCCACCCTCACACATCCTCACGCCAAAACCGATGGGAGAACCCGACGACCCTTCTTTACGCAGCTTCAAGTCCAAGGCAGTGTCTGCACTTGGCTTGGAACGCAAGCCAGTCACTCCAAGCCACGTTCTCCCGACCCACAACCCCCACCCAACCCACGACAACAACAACAACAACAGCAGCAGCAGCAACGAGAAGCGCGCTGCCCCTGAGCTCAAAACCACAGACTCCAGCAATGGTAGTGCAAATACCACGGGCGATGGAAATGCGTCTTCCACCATAGAATCCGGGAAGCGTCCGTTCTACTCGCTCACGCGGGTCAAGAATGGAACCCTCCGATTCATCACCCACACTAAGAATGCTGTCACTCATAGCTGGATCAATGTCTTGCTAGTCTTTGTGCCGGTTGGCATCGCTGTCAAGCTCGTCAGCTTGCAGCCCGAGATTGTCTTCTCGATGAACGCCATTGCCATTATTCCACTTGCTGGCTTGCTCGCGCACGCAACCGAAGTAGTCGCCGCCCGCGTTGGAGACGCGCTTGGCGCACTGCTCAATGTGTCGTTCGGCAACGCCGTTGAGCTGATTCTCTTCATCATTCTGCTTGCCTCCAACCAGATAGAGGTGGTACAGGCCTCGCTGCTTGGATCTATCCTTGCGAACCTGCTCCTTATCCTTGGTATGGCCTTTTTGTTGGGTGGCCTCAAGTACCAGGAACAAGTCTATAACAATACCGTCACTCAAATGAGTGGAGTCATGCTTGCATTGGCCGTTATGAGTCTTCTGCTCCCTACTGCCTTCCATGCAGCCTTTGAGGACAATGCCATTGCCGATCACGAGACGCTATCCGTCAGTCGTGGCACGAGTGTCATCTTGTTGCTCGTTTATGGCCTCTATCTTCTATTCCAGCTGAAGAGCCATCGATATCTCTATGCCAGCACTCCGCAGCACATCATCGATGAAGAATCCCATCCCGGTGTTCTTGCTGGTGCTTTTGACTCGTCCAGCTCAGACTCCTCATCCAGCTCCAGCAGCAGTGACAGTGATGGCTCGTCGCGTTCTGATGGAACAATGAAGAAGAAGGCGAAGCGCATGGTCAAGAGACTTCGTCGCAAGTCCAGTACTAGCTCCAAAGATGGGAGTGCCCTTTCCGCTATGAGCTCGCCAGATGGTGAACTCAACCAGAGCCCTTTCGAGGCTGAGAGGGAGAGGAGTAACAGTGTCTTCACTTCCAACGCTGGTATGCTCGGAAATTCTCGCCGGCACTCGGTCGACGTTATGAGTGGCGATGAAGCGGACAACGATCAGTATGCGCCAGTCGTTCGCGACTTTGAAGCTGCCTCACATACCTCGCAATCGATAATGAAGAAGGACAAACGCAGACACAAGAAGCACAAGAAGGACCGCCGTGATCGTAACAAGGTCAGTACCATTCCCGAGAAGGAGGTTGCGCCAAACGAGCCTGCACCCAAAGTCACCTTTGCCCAAGACACTCAGCAAACCACGGCTGCTGCGGCCAACCCGCGCAGGTATAATCGCCCTGCGCTTCCTTCCCTGCTTTCCAACAATGTCTTCTCGAATCCTCAGAATCTAGCCCCACTTGGCGGTCCTGCTCCGAACATTCGCATGGCGGCGCCTCGTGACAACACGGTTCTGCGCACGCCTCTTCGCCGTTCCAAGTCTCTTCCAGATCAGATTGGCCGAACAGCGCCTTACGCTAACGCAGCCAATCGCCCCGCTGTCTCACCTCAAGCTGCCTTGGCATTGAACGAGGATGATGAAGTTGACGAGGTGCCCGACATGTCTATTAAAGCGGCCATTTTCATGCTTTTGATCAGTACTGGTCTTGTCGCTGTGTGTGCCGACTTTATGAGTGGTGCTATAGAGCCAATGGTGGAATCCTCTGGCATTAGTCAAGCATTCATTGGTCTCATCATTCTTCCTATTGTTGGTAACGCGGCAGAGCACGTGACAGCTGTCACGGTAGCCATGAAGAACAAGATGGATCTTTCCATTGGTATCGCGGTCGGCTCGTCGATTCAAATTGCAATCTTCATCACGCCCGTCATTGTCATCCTTGGCTGGATAATGGGCAAAGAGATGACGTTGTACTTCAATATCTTCGAAACTGTCGCCTTGTTTGTTACTGTCCTGGTAGTAAACTTCTTGGTACTGGACGGACGAAGCAATTACCTCGAAGGCAGTTTACTCATCGCTTCATACATCATCATTGCACTGGCCAGTTTCTTCTACCCTGATGGTTGCGATGCTAGTGCTATTGGTGGCAATGAAAAGCACTGCACTTGAGTCAACCAACACACGACGCAACTTGCCCCAAGGCATGGTGGAGAGGAAGATGAAGGTTTAGCCCGATTATCGCTGGTCAGCAGATTAAGGTTTATGTCGGGTGCGACAGGAGGAGAGTTTGATTTGGCAGTAAGCTGTGTGCAATACGAGCTTAGGTAAAATGAGTTCGTTCTGGATAAAACCCTAGTCTTGTGTCTTTTTGGTTCTATTGTTCAGCAGCCCCAATTGTCATAGACGCCTACTAGCTTTACGTGTCCTGGTGTTACAAACTGATCCGTTTGTCCAAGTCCAGAATTATCTATAGATCATTTCAGTGTTTCACGACGCCTACGAAATGGGTCCAACAACCATTGATGCATGAATAGAGATGGATGTTCATTTAGTGCTACCATCAGCCGTTAAGGTGGAGGTGTGAATTGGAGATAAATTTTCCAATTCCTTTCCTGCTGGGCTAAGATGCATTTTGTGCAGTGTACGAACAACATACCGATGATAGCATTCGAGGGCATGATAGACGCGGATAAATGACGTGCTTGGCGAGTGAACACAGTACCGGTGGGGTTATTGCTCGTAAAATCATGCGTCACCTGGGCGAAAAGTATAAATCGACCTCGGCCCAATGGGTTGCGTTTAAATTGCTGTGCATTATCTCTACTATGTCAGTCGGCAAAGGTGGTGGGGGGAAAGCAAGTTTCAAGCTGGGTCCCGCCACATGCTGGTCTACGAGCTACGTAACCTGGATGGAATATCGCAACAACATTCCAGAACTTGCACAACTACGATCGTGGCGTGTCTAGTACGCTACCAATTTGATGTCCAATTACACAAGCTCCACATGGCGCAAACCCAAGACTCTCCTTGCGGGGGTCTCATTAGCCGGCGGCAATTGCATGAAACATATCGCAGCGATTTCCTTTTTGCATTCATACTCGAACCTGGTGTAATATGTGTCTGTCGGCAAAGTCTTGCTGCTGGCATGGTTGGATAGAAACGACACTAGAATCGCTACGTTCTCTCCCGCTCGCTCTGCCCAAGTCAAGCAAATTCAGTTGTAGACCACGAGGCGATTGTTTCAAGGTCATTCACCCAGGACCAATTTGGGCCACTTATGTTTCAACAATCACGCGGATGCACCCGATCAGGGGTCCCAGCCGCTTCCGATAGCCCGGCCAGACGGCATTGTTTACCACAAACGAGCCAAGAGATTCCAAGCTTCTCCGGCATGACATTCAGTACCGGAGGGCAGTCTTGGCTCTTGTACTTAAGTATATGGTAGCTGTACTGTGTAGGACACATCAATTCCTCATCATCCTCCAAGCAACTCAACTTTGAACACCGTGAGAACCACCAGGAAACATGGGTCTCAAGTCTCTCCTCGTCGCGGCCTTGGCTACCGTTGCTGTTGCAACACCTATTCCGGACCCTCTGAACATGATTAGGCAGAGTGGGCCTGCTGCAGGACAGGTATGCAGATCCACTTGCGTTTCTGGACGTGACACCCTGCCCTTGTATTCAAGCTAACATATCCAAAAGGTCATCACTAAATGCGTAGCACCTGGCCAAATCGCCCTGGCCTACGATGATGGCCCATCCCAACTGACACAGCAGCTTGTCAACACTTTGAATGCAGGTGGTGCCAAGGCAACCTTCTTTGTCACGGGCACACTGTACGGCTGCATCTACAACCAAAGAAACGCACTCCAAAGCGCATACAAGTCGGGCCATCAAATCGCCTCCCACACATGGACTCACCCGCAAAACTTTGGCTCGCTATCTTCAAACGACTTGACCAGCCAGATGTCACGTCTTGAGCAGGCCCTCGTCAACATCATTGGCGTCAAGCCCACATACATGCGACCCCCTTACCTCGCTACGGGTGGCAATGTGCTGCCAACCATGCGCAACCTGGGCTACCGCGTCATCACGTCTGATGTTGACAGTGAAGACTGGAACGGCAAGACCCCCCAGCAGAGCCAGCAGAAGTTCCAGCAGGCGGGTGCTGGTGGCAACGGGCACATTACCCTCATGCACGAGAGTGAGTTTTTTTCAATTCTGAGATTCTTCTATCCTCCCTTCCCCCCTCCCCCCCTCCCCCCCCC